AAAAAAAAAATGAAAGAAAAATATAAACAAACCTGAGAAACGATAATATGATGTGCGTGTCCTATATGGGAGGATGGAGAAAGCATGTCAGTCAGTGTGCCTGGTTACCTATACACAGTATAAACAATCCAAACAACACTCACTACGTATGATACAACTATATCTTACATTGATTGGACTCTCAACGAGGAAATTAATTATATGAGTAATCGAAATTAAAAATATTCACGATGATGCATGCCAATGAGAAATTCTTCGAATATCTTGCATTTGGAACTGGAGATATTGCTAATTTCCAATGAAAAATGTGTAATTAATTTTCGATGAGTAGATAGCATAATTATGCACAATTAATTTCGGTCGATATCTACCAGTTCCGATAAGATAATAAGTGGACTGTGAATTTTTATGCATTTATGAGATGCTTAAAATACAAAAATACAAAGGATATCAATTTATATAAAATATAATATTACTATAAAGAATATGAGACATAAAACATTTTATAGTTGTAATTATTAATTGTTCAGGATATTTTAAATATGTTAATCAAAAGATATTATTATTTAATTTTAATTATAAAACATTTTCATATATAAAATATTTAAAACAGAATAAAATAAATCTCGCTCAATGAAACAAATTCGTGTATACAATAAATTCTCTTTATCCAGTTTATAAAAGATTTATCACTGGATAAAAATTCGCAGTCCAATAGCAAGATACTATAAAATAAAATATACAATGAAGAAACTGAACAAGCGCCAAGCCTTCTGCACTAAAAAAGCAGAAGGCACGAAAGCTTTTCTAAACATTGGTCATGCTATCACACCACTAAACACTATATATTAGATTCATGCAAAATGAATCAAACCGATAAAATTATTTTCGAGAAGTCAAAGTGTTTAACATACCCGCCACCATCTTGCTCTTCTCCATCACCTGCTTCGCCAAAATTTGATTTAGCTGTAAAATATGCTCCCTTTGCCGCTTCTCTTCCACTACCTTTCTCTTCAAGCTGTCCGATTGCTCGATATTAATATTGTCGTCTGAAAAAGATAACGATTCCATTTAATTATTTAATATATTACTTGACAAGTAATTCTAATTTTCAGTGTTCGACTCTTTCGTTTATACATTTCTTTCATTTTATTTGAAGAATATTATAGTTAAATAACATATAATTTTCTACATCCTTCATATCGAAATAAGATTTTCAACGAACTAAAGAAAACACATTAATAGTGGTGTGTTTTAACATACAGATACTCGTATCCAATGCTTTGATGGTTAATAAAACTGGCAATTAAATTTTGTTCAGCGTTTCTGTGTGAAACATTGAAAGTTCAACAAGTAATTTGTTAATGTAATAATCATTCGTAGACACATACCGCTTCCATCCGGTGCAGTCACGGTTGTCTCCGACAGCATTTTCCTTATCGCTTCTGCTTTCTTCAATCGTTGCTCCTGCTCTTCCGCAGTTAATTCTGGCGTCTGGAATACAATTTTGTTCCAATTTCGTCATACTGAAACATCAATAAAATAGCAAAGAAAAAAAAGAAAAGTTCTAATTCTCAGATATATCACCTGTTCAGGAATATATCTCTCAGGAATCACGATCTTATTAGGCGTTCCCAACAACTGGTCAATAGTACTCTCGTTATACTTCAGCTCCTTGTGACTCAAAGTCGATCTCACGACATCCGGCGCGTTGATCCTCGGCCTAAGTGCTCGCTCCATATCCAGATCATCTCTAGCTCTACCCATTCCCTAGGAAACACCAACGAAACACTCATTCAACATACTCGCCGCCGCGATATATATGTTAATTTTACTTCAACAACTCGTTACTCAAAATACAGCAAAGCGACGCCAAGTGAAACGATACGACAAAAGGGTAGAACAGAAGGGAACCGAACGAGAACGATTACACGAGTCGGGGATAAACGAAGAGAAATTAAATTACGAAAACATAAAATACGAAAAGAAATAAAAAAAAAAAAAAAAGAAATGATACCATCTTGGAGAAGGTGTCCTCTAGATCGAGGACGGGTTTGCTACTGGACACGGTATAGTGTCGCCTTTTCTCGCGGGGGATCTGTCTGCGCCTCGGCCCCTCCACCTTTTTCTCCGTCATCTCCTTGATAATCTGCTTCGCTGCCTCGCTCTTGAAAACTGGTGACAGCTGCGGTGAGTTCGACGCGTTCAACGAAGAGGCGAACTGTCTCTCCTGGCCTTCGAGGCTGGTCGGTGACAATAATTCTGGACTCACTGGCTCTGTCATGTTGTCGTTTCTCGTCGTGGGATTCTCATAGTGTCTGTACGGTGGGTAATACAGTTGTTGATGATGGCTCGACCTAACTGGATAATTTTGCTGGCTGGGGCTGTAGGATGGACTTGTCGAGTAATTCGGCGAGCTCATAGGTAGATGCGAGCTCGAGGCTAGGCTCTCCGTGTACGGTGAAAGAGTACTGTCCGAGCTTCCGTCCTGGGTTTCGAACTGCGTCGATCGGCAGGCAAAATAATGGAGGGCATGACGAAGCGGAGGGCCGAACAAAATAAGGCGTCGCGGGATGAAAGACGAAACCAATGAAAAAAGAAGAAAGAACAAAATGCATGAAATAATACGTGTGTTTGATTTGGCTAGGGTGATGCGTGATTGGTTCGTGACGTTTGTTTCGATGTTAGTTGTACCGATGTGCTGAGTATGGGAAACAAATTTTGCACTAAGTATCAGACTTTCGTTTCCATCTTAAGAAATATTATTATGACAAATATATTTTAGATTTTGTACAAAAAACATTACACGCAAAATATTTCATTAGGTATATACAAGAGGGTGGTTCAATAATTATCTGCAAGTGATATTTTTTGTTATATTAACTGTAGCTAAGTACGTAAGCATTGATATTTGTCAGTCTTCATTTATCATAGTTTTACAGGTTTTAACAAGCTAATTTAGTCTTTTTTTTTTTATTGTGACGGTAACAATGGTCAGATTATTTTTCGTTTAATAAAGAAAAAAGTAGCATTCTGTTATTCAATTTTTTCTGACCTAAAGGGATATGAGGAAATTTGTAGAGGAAATTTAAACGAGGATGGACCAAGTGTATTGACAAGCAAAGGGACTACAAAATAATTATCGAAAAATAATATTATCGTACAAATTCCGAATAATTATTGAATCACTCTCGTAAATTAAATCATTATTTACATCATATGAAAACACAAATATTTTGTTAGCACGTATAACAAAAGATTCTTCAAGAAGAAAAAGGTAGACAAGAAAGAAATTTTATCAGTTCCGTCAATTAGCGCATCGGTATCAAGATACAGCGATAGGAAATGAATCGGTAAATCATCGTTAACTCACCCTGACTTTATTCCGTCTGGCCAGCATAGTTCTCAATGCGTGCATGCTGTCGCTCCTGGGAGGAGGCACCACCGGAACCTGATGAATCTCGGGCTGCTGTTGCCGCTGTCCGCCAAAACCTCTCGGTAAGGACATGCTTCTTTGGAACTGCACATCGTCCAAGTCCGTCAGCTGGACTGTGCTTTGAGCGTGAATCATCGGCGACTCTTCTACCACCTTTCCTAATTGAGCCTTCTAAAAATAAATTGATTGGAAATAGAGTAAAATAAAATCGAAGCTGCGACAACGTTGATCGCGTTGACGTAGCTGACCATCATTCGCGCTCGAAATAAATTGACCGATTGATTATAATCATAAGAAAACAAAAGATCGAAAATTGGAAAGGAATGGACTTGTGAAATACAGTAGGATTCGTATTGAAATCTGTTTCATACATTATAACAATTGTACTAATTACTCAAACAATTATTCAATTATTTATTACTTATAAAGTAATACTACTAGCTATTACTAGTTTATTAGCATCAGTTTTACTTATTTAATTCATTGTGTATCAATATTCTAACAATTATTCATTACACACTAATACCTTTTCCACTTACTTAAACTCGCAAGTGAATAAATTTAAATACTCAAGATGGCATGTACTACAATGGTGGTGAACTATAAACTATAATATATAGTATAAAATATATACTATAATAAATTTCTAAATTCATAACTTTCGCTTCGATAAAATTACAATGAAGCGTCCTTGAGTTGTTTCCTCAAAATCTAACCAGGTGGTCGTTTTTTCAACAAAAAAAAAAAAAAGAAAAACAAATTGTCAATTTTTCATGTACATAGAAAACACGAAGAAATTACCTCGAATTTCTGAGAACCTCCTAAATCATCGTCGCACAATCTCTTGGCACCTCCAGGCGCCTGAAGCCCGTTTGTTAATGGAATTCCAATGTTTCCAGTTCTGTCTCCCCGATCTCTTTGCCGTCTTTCCGATTCCCGTTTCACGATTCGCACGGTCTTAATCTCTTGTTTCTCACGATTGTGGATCAAGCCTTGAAAACGCCATTATCACGAATTACCAATCGCCATTGTCTGGCTAGTTGCGTTATTGCTTCACTTACCGGCAAACTTGTTGTCCTCGTTCTGTCTGTAATTATCGTTCAGTAACGATTCTTCGGCCAGGGGTGGCGGTGGCGGAGGTGGAACATATTCCGGTGGAGGAATCGTGCCGTTGGTTAAATGTTCATCCTGCTTGTTGTTCTCTGAAATGGTTAAATATGTTCTTATCTGCTAACTTATTTAATAAATATATAAATTTAACATCTTATCGGATGTTGTCTATGATTTCCTTCAGCTTTTTAATTGATTTTACAATTAAAAAGACTTTGCAAAGCGCGATTCAATTTTTGTTTAACCGTTTCCCCGATTAACGATTTCGTTTTTTTAAGATTCGAGACATCCTCAGTTAAGCTGCTTCGGCAAGCAATTTCCAGCGATGTTTCTTTTTCCAATCATTCAGTGCATTGATCTCACTTCTGTGCTCACCTTGAATCCTAGAATCCGTGTTGACGTATAACGGAGCGACGTTCGCTTGCATCAGGCTTCCTTTCCCTTGCATCTGATCCTTCAGAAGCTGTTGCTTCAGCTGATGCTGTTGAATCTGTTCGCGCAACTGGGGCGAGAGCGAGGAAATGTGATTCTGCGGCGACTGAGGGTACGATTGTAAGTTCGTTTGCTGACGATTCGTGGGCGAGGAGTCTTTGATCTGCGTCGGTGAACCGAAATGAGGATACGGTCCACCGTTCTGCTTGCCACGAGGCGACGAGGACAGCGCGGGACTCGATGGTGAATCCAAGCCGTGGTCCAATGTTATCCCGGAATCGAGATCGGTCTCCAACCAAGAGTTTTGTGTCCGTTTCTTTGGCTGGTGCACTGTGGGAGCTGTGTTAGAGTTCCGTTTAATAATGAGAATGTCATTAGGTAATTGCATTGAAGTGAAGTAGCATGAATTAGCGACAACGGCAACAAAACTGTTAAATATCATTTTGTTCATAATTTATATTTGAGACAGAATTAGTTAGATTTTCGTAATTTTGAATCAGCTTGTTTGATACAGAATCATCAGTTCTATATTTTTTGAAAGTTAAACTTAAGTAACGTGTGAAAATGAAATTGAACGAAATTGAACACAGAGTTTTGTGTTCGTTCGACTGATGCAATGCAGAGGTTTGATAAAGTTTTTTTGAGAAAAGTTTCACCATTTCATCTACAACAATCTAACATGACATAAATTTTAAAATAAAAGACTGTATTTATATGTGTACAGCGATAGACATAAGATCAGCATATGTGTACATTACACGAGAACTAATAACTTTTATATTGTTTTTAACATTTTTAATAACTATACTATATTCTAAGAGTCTAAGATCCTATTCTAAGATGTATAAACAAAGTATTAAGTATAATTCCATTTTATAAAATTTCGTCCCGCTTTCCAAACTTTCTTTTATCCACCGCTGGTTAAATAATCTTTCTTTCATGCCTCGAAGAAAGAACGACTCACCAGATGTAGGTTGCGGTCGGATTTGCTGCACCAGATTGTGAGATTTCTCTGTTAGCTGTCTAACTTGAATGCTTAATTCCTTTCGTTGTCTCTGCAGATCTCCGACCAATTGTTGAACTCTTCTCAACTCGGCTTCAAGGGGGCCAGTCGTGGCCGAAGTGTCTCTAGTCAGATTCCCTGCATATCTTCTCGATGCCTGAAGCTTCTGCCGCAGTACCACCAAGTCTTGTTCCAATCTCGCATTCTCGGCGACCGTCTCCTCGAGTTTCTGTAAGGCAAAGATACGGCGGAGAATTATTTCGCGGGCCTTCGCGAGGTGGTCGATAAGAAGCTAATATAAGAACAGAAGCCAACGAAACAGAAATTTATCTATTCCTGTGCTTTAAGTGATTTACCTGGAAGAATACCGGCTTCACCTGGAAACAACGAATCGACGATTAAATCGGGCAAATCAGTTCCACGAGAGAATGAACCGCGCGATGCATGACTATGCTATTCTCCTCTACTCAAGGTGGAAGAGCATGACTGAAGCACTAATCTCTTTCTTAAATATGAAGCATATTAGAATTTCGAAAGAAATCAACGTTCTAAAATAAATAAATATGTAGTGCTATTCTTTTTTTGTATGTACTAGATATAAATTATAAATATATGATATAAAGTAATATTTATTAATAAATTTATTAATATCGATAAAATATTAATTATAAGGGAGAATTAATTGTGCAAAATGTCTCTTGCACGTCTTAATATTAGCAATGAAGAATAATTTACAGGCGAAATTTATAATTACCGATTCAGTTGTGCTCTCCACTCTGTATTCCACAAAAAAAAGCCCAATTCAATTTGCCAGACTTTCTTTTGAAAAAGGCGAAACGACGAAATCCTGATTACTTTTTGCGGGGCGGAAACCACGAGAAATTTCCCCCGTTCTTCGAACAATAGATCGCCGGAACAAATTCCGACGAAAGAAAACTTCTCGATTGAATTCGTCCCCTCTGTCGTCAAATGGAAATTCGCACAAAACCGATTAAAGTTTCGCCATGGGGTTCCCGTTCGTGGGAACCCGGGCGAACTTATTCACGATTAAGCAGCATGTGTTGTTCTTATTCGAATCTAAAGTTCGTGTATACAAAAGCACAATAAGTTTTTTTCTTTTCGAATAAAGTTCAAACCAGGCCAACACAGTCTATTTTTTAGGCAAGATTTAACCAAAGATTAATAATTACATTTCTACTTTATTTGATAATCATTATTAAATCGTGATTAAATTCCTACTCGTAGTTGAGTTTCTTTGAGTAAAATTATTATTAGTTCCGTGAAAAGACTTTTTCTATTGAAATATGTCCTCGTTGTTTCCTACTTTCTCTTTCTTCGTTATAATTGCAAAATTTAATAAACTGATGAATTTGTAAAATTCATTAAAGGAGTCTAGATTTCATTTCAAAACCATCATTGAAAATTGACGATTAATTTTTTAATTAAATCGACCCCTCTGGCTTTTCGATAACTAATCACAGTTTCGATTTTAATCACAGTTCGGTTAATCAATTGATTAAATGAACAGTTCGAATCGTTTGATGCACAACTGCTAGTTCAGGCGAAATTTTTCCTCGATCAATTTTCAACGAGTTTCGCTGATCGGAGACAAAAATCACGACGATTACAAGAATGTTTGAAATATCTTACCTTCGAGTTGTGCGCCAGCAACACTCTCACTCTGCTTAGCTCTTTCTCCAGCAACAGCTGCTGCTTCCTGTATCTCTCAGCTTCCGCTAAATTGCTCCTACTGCCCTGCAGTTTGTGCCGGAGACCACCTAGTGCTTTCTCCAGTATCTCCTGTAATCGAAATCGAGAAGGTTTAGCTTGCTGGA